GGCAGGGGGAGCGGGGAAGCCCTTCCCTCCCGCATCACCCGGCTGACTTCCCGGCGGCTTCTTAGCCACGATGGTCTCTGCTTCCCTCGCCCCCCTGTCCTCCCCGGGTGGGCGATCGCTACCCGCGCGGCAGCCCAGGGAGAGCAGGGTCCGGAGGGTCTCCCACGGGTCCCTTCGCTCCGCTCCCCTGGAAGCTGCACAAAGAACTGGCTGGCAGAGATACTTGTTTACCATCTTCGTTGTCATAGATGGTGTGCTACAGTGTTAAGGGGAAGCTAAGCTGCTTCAATCCGGCGATACAAAGAGAGCCTAGTTGTAGTCAAAGACAAAAATATGCAAAGGGCAAAATAGCAACAACAAAATAAAGTGTAGTTGCAGAGGTGTTCATTACTTAAAGCCAAGGGAAGTGCTTCTGTAGGCCTATTCTTCACCAGAGCTAAGCTAGATGAAAGTTAAAATTTCATGTTCGTGAATGACAGGAGAGCAGAGCCAGCCTTAATGTGAGGCTGCTGTCCTGCTGCCATTCAGCATAGTCAGTTGGATCATGTAGAAGAAGCTGTGAAGGCCTAATGCGGACGTATAAGGAACAGATAACTTTCCCGAAACTTTCTTCCTAACCATCTTGTGGAGGAGTGGGTCTTTGCATTGAAGTGCTTTCATTAAAGAGAGTGCTCAGTATCTGGTGAGAAGATATTCAGCACCCCATGTACTGAGACAGTTATTTCCTCTCTGCTTCCGTTCCCCATTTTTAGTTATAAATAGGGCCCTAGCTTTTTGAAGCTGTCCTGGTTTTCATTTGATCTAGCCTCATTTTGAAGAGGAATATCTATTTTAATATCTGGTTCAGGTCCTAAGCACTATCTGTATATTATAGAAACTATACAGTGAAAATATTCACAGAACTGTAGGGGCACATCATGTAATCCTTAAACTGGCAAGACTTCCATAAAACTGTATGCTTGGCCCCAGATAAGATCTTGAAGGACTTAACACGGCACATAAAACTTGCTGTGAATAGGCTTTTGAGTGTTTCAAATGAAGGAGTTTCTATTCTGATCTCAAATATGTGGATGCTCTTTGCCAGGTACCTTAAATTCATCTTCTGTGCTTACAATAGGATGTGACAGTGCTTTTTTGTTCTTTTTATGCACTAAGCAGCATGCACCCAAATATTTCAAATGAGGACAGCAACTAAAGACTGCATTTACACTGGTGTGAAAGATGCCAGACTAACTTAGCTATAGTATGGTATAATACACACTTAATGTGAGATTTAACCTCAGTTAAAATTGCTTGGTAAAATGTATCAGGTAATATGATATTTTGGTAAAAGCCTTACAGAAAAAGCTTTAGTAAGAAACCTGGAAGTATTGCATGTCCAGATATAATGGGAATGTTTAAATTGTTTCAGTGGATCAATTGTATCTGAGATACTACATATACCAGATAAACAGCATGCTGCCACTTTATATTACCTTAAAAAATGCATAGTTACTCAATGTTTCCTCCCCAGTATTTTTTTATTTGTGCATATGGAGAGAATAATTTAAGACGCCCAGGCCTTAAAACAGGGTTATCAAAACAGTAAGACTGTGGTGTTTGTAGTACTGAATAATATATAAGGTAATGATCAATAGTCCCTTACAGGGAATACTTTTAATCTTTACATTAGCTTGGCTATAAATTTCCCCTATTGGCTTCAACTTGTGCTGTGTTAGATTTATGTGATTCATGCTTGTTATTGATTAGTGCACAACTATTTTGCAGGAGATGCCAAATTAATTGTTAAAAAAATCCATGAAAGTGCTTTTTTATTGGCCACATGAGGCTCAACACATACTATAATGTTATTTTATTACTTCACGTACATAGAGTTTCCAATAAGCTTTAAAAATAGTTACATGATGTGCTTAGACATGAAAATTCACAAACTATATGGAAAATGCTACTCTGTGCTTTATTTTGTGACTCAGAAAGTAACATAATGCAGCAGCATGCTTCTGAACCTTGCTGGATAACTCCTGTGATGACAGTCTTAGATGAGCACTCCCAAATAGGAAGCAATTTCCATTTTTTTACACAAGACTTCTAGATTTATGCAGGGTCTGGCTGGTAGCGTCCTTGTTGAAGAGGTAAGCAATTTACAGGGAAGGCTGCCAGAAAATCTTCAAACCCTTAGAATCTGATGAGCCAATACTTGATAGAGGTACTTGCTGTACTGTGCACATGGATGCTGAACTAGGAGCTTTGCAGAAGCAATGCTTCTCTGCAAAATATTCTTGTCTCTAAGTGCACCAATGTCCATGTGATCTCGCTGTTATGTGCATGGGAAGACTTAATCATGTATACACTATTACTTAGGCTTAGGATATTTTAATTTTTGAATTAAAATGATAACACATCAGAGAGAATGGTTACTATCTAGACAGAAATGCATGAAACTGGACTATACTAAGGATTTTCATTTCTCAAGCCTCTGGAAGATCATACTGTGAGTAAATATTTCCCTATATTCATGATTCATTGATAGATCTCTGAGTAATGTTGTTTTATCACACAATTCTGATTTGAATTTATTTTTTCAGAATTTATCTTGCAAGACAAATATCACAGGTTCCTCTCCTGCTAATTTTGGCAATCTAAAAACTTTTTTTTTTATTTTAATGTATTATCTGTTGTGCAAATCAGAATAACTGAGCTTAAGATCTGTGTTTAGAAATGATGAGAAAGATTGAGAGTAATCTTTTAATTTGGTACATTAATGCTGTCTGCAATGCATTGTTCTAGCAGAGGCTTAAAGGACTGTATATTCATTTGTTCCTCATCTTCATCCAAACAACTCAGAAAAGGGGAAAACAGCCTTGAAAATAGCTGTTGGGTGCTCAGGGACCAATCATATCTGAAAAAAAAATCTTTAAATGGAAACAATATATACAGTTTGCTTTTTTTCCCTGCATTTTATAGGTATACTGGAATTTATCAGTATAGCAGTGGGCTTGGTCAGCATCCGAGGAGTCGACAGTGGACTTTACCTTGGAATGAACGAGAAAGGAGAACTGTATGGCTCGGTAAGTTCCTGCTAGCCTTTGGCAGTCATGATCCTTACATTCTGTGGGGAAAACACTTGCTAGATTTTACAAGGCCCTGTTGCAGTAGGTAGTGTATGAGCAGTCTTTCTGCACTAAATATCTTGCAGATTAATTCGAAACAAGACCCTGTGGGTGGCATAGCAAATATGGGAGAGGGAAAAGGTGACAAAATCAGGAATGAGTAATATTGCAGATGGATGGCAATTTAGATACAAGCAATAGAGACTGCTGGCCAGAGCTGGTCACTGAAGACTAAAGGATGTGCTGTAAGATTTGTAAATGTGTCCTTTCAGTAGAGACCTAAATTGAGACAAAGTGTCTTCTTTTTATGTGTAGGCAGAGTGCTTTCTAGGAATTGACAAAATAAAGTAGAGGGGAAGGTAAAAGGTGGCATATGTGGATGAGTGAAAGGAGTGTGACAAAAGTTATAAAAAGCATAGGAATTAGGGCAAGAGGCTTGGTGGCCTTGTCCTGAAAGTTCTGCTCGTGCTCGCTAAGGGGTGGCAGCAGGAGTGAGTAATGGGTGTGAGGGAGGAGTAAAAGTTAGTATTTCAGATGTGGGAGTTTGCCAGCCTACCTGCAGCTGATGGGTGACTGTTCTCAGCAACATGGGCTGTCTTCCAGCAGAGAAGAGAGAGAGGAGGGGAGAAAGAGAGAGAGAGTGAGAGTGTGTGTGTGTGTGTGTGTGTGTGTGTGTGTGTGTATGACGTGACCCTTATCTGGGAATACTTGAGACTGGGGTTTACACTCTGGGTAGACTGTGGCAGGTGGCATCTGAAATGGAGCAGGTAACTCCCCAAAATAGTAGAAGGCGATCTCTTCTAGCAGTAAAGTATCAACCTGCAAAGCTTACAAGGATTAGGGAAGCAGTTGTATTTGAAGAAGAGGGTGGCAGGTTTGAAGGGTAAGCAAATGTCTAAAGCATAGCAAAGCTGTGCATTCGCTGGGGTTCATTAGAAGCAGAGGAGAAGGTGACAATGGTTGACCAATAGTTTAAAGGTTGCCGAGAAACACTCCAAAAGAAGTTAAAGTGGTAGAGAATGGCACTGGGTGTTGTTGAAGACACCTGTGTCACAGGGGAGTAGCAGTGACTGTTGGGAAAAGGGTGGAGATGGCACTGAGAGTGGGAGGAAACATGAGATGGTCATGGTGAATGAGCAGGTGAAAACAGTAAAAGGAGTAAGAGGGAAGTCCAGCTTCCATGTCTGTGATCCATGGAGGAGTGCGAGGAAGTGAGACCAGGAAGGTCCAGCAGAAGTGTTTCTATAAGAGTTCCAGGGTGACTGATTTCTTTCTAGTAACACATTGTGTGAGGGAGGGGAAGGGGACTATCTTCTGAGCAAAGAGCATTCTAGGAGAGGAAGCTGGAAAATACAGGTAAGGGCAGTGTATGTGGGAGGCAGAAAAAGAGGTGGTAGAATGAGGGTCAGGGCTGGAATGGAGAATGTGTGGACATGGGAGAAGGGGAGATGCAGAGATGGTGAGAGCCAGTGAGTGAGAAAGGCCAAAGAAAAGAGATTTAGCATAAATGGCAGTATGGAGGAGGTAAAGCTTGAAAGGATAGAGAGGGAGTGAGAAGAGAATGGATGCAATGACAGATGTAAACATGTTGCCTGTGAGGAGTAAGTTGTCATAAGTTACAATCCTTGTGCAGCAGGTGAATGTGATAAAGAAATAGCAAAGTCATGAGTACTTTTATGGTTCAGTTAGGCAGCAAAAAGGCAGAACAACAATAGTAATATGAATCAGTAATGTTGATAATCATCAGTAAGAGTAATCTTTTAAACATATAAACGTAGTGAATCAGTTACTCTACATCTCAGATATTCTGAGGAAGAAAATATGGTTGTTGATAGATCTTAAATGCATAGATTTGGGAAAACAAATGTTACATCACTTTTCTGTGCAATTTATAATTTGTGTTTGCAATATGTTTGACTGTCAGAGTAAATTACTCAAAACATTCTTTGCTGAAGAAATATGCACAAGAGATTCTTTGTAAATTACTAACTCGCTGCATTTATAAAATAGTTGTTCCATGAACAGCAGTTCTAAAGCAGCTTGCTTTGCTAGGGGTTTGTGTCTCACAGTCCAAGACATGGGTCTCCCTGACCTTCTGTCCCTGCAGTAGCACAAATTCCTCAGCCTTTTGTGTTTCTTGTATGGAGAAAGAGACAGTGTTAGCCGTCCATGCTCACCAGATTGTCAGTTTGCAGGGATTACATAGTTCACCACTCCCAAGTGGGACGTGCAAATGATTTCTCTTCTTTACCCTGCCTCTGATTAGTTGCAAAACTGATAGGAACTTAATTTTCTTGAAGACCTTTGGCTCCTAATTGAAGCTGGTTGAAAAGCTAAGGAAGGAGAGACAGGCAGGCAGATGGATGTACATTATAATTGGATAACCTCTTTTCCCTAAGAAATGACACTAAAAATATGAAGCCATTCATAATGGAGAACTGGCAATCTATAAGGCCAGAATGCAAAGTTCAGGTTAAAATCTGATGGATGATATGGCTTATTGTCAGCCTCCAGAGATGGGACATGCTAAAGAGTGATGGTAATTGAATTACATTACTTCCAATGAAATATAACCTCTAATGGCTACTCAGTGTGATGATGCTTTAAAGCCTTGTCAACACTAGCAATCCTAGTGCCTATATTTCAGCAACTGTCAGCTCTCGTAGAAACACTGAGATAAGCAGGCCTCAGAGCAGATTTGTGTGGAGAATTGGCTGGGCATTTTTGAGTGACAGTGTTTTGCTTTTGGTTTCGGTCAAAAAATGCAATTAATTGAAAATGAAGTTCTCTGATGGGAATAAAGGTTGCAGCTTGAAGCAGAAGCAAGGCACAATCCAGCACGGAATTATCTCTTTGGTGAAGCAGAAGATCAGTTTAACTGAAATTAGTTTTGATGCCAATATGTGATAGACTGTGAAAAGCTTAATTTAGTTTTTCACCTAAATTAAGCAGAGCAGTCACTCAAGTTGAATGGCTCTGTGGCACCAGGATGTTGTCCTTGTGCTGCTGTGCTGAGAGGTGAGTCCTTCTGTCTAGGTTTCTTCCCTAAGGGCTGTGAATAGCACCAGCTTTGTCATGGTGCAGGTACACTTCTGACACTGTGAATGTGTTTCCTAGGGTGGGAAAACTGTTTCCCACACAGAATGGAATAGCATCCTAAGAAATACTTGGTCTTGCTCTACATTAGCATTGTGGATCTAAGTAGGTGCTTAGATCCACAACTTGTGAGGCATTCAGTACTTGACACTGTTGGAATAGATGCTCTGTGTCTATGACACTATTATATTCATATTCAGATTGCTGCATGAAAAATATATAAGGTGTGAATCATATCAATGACCTAAAAGACTTTTATCCTTCTATATTTGTGTTTGAAACATTTGGCACAGGAAGATTTTTCCCAGCATATTTGCGGTGGCACTGGAGATGGGACATATGGTGAAGCAGAGCAGCCAGGGTGGCTGATCACCGCCAATTTTCACGAAAGACAACAGTAAAGGCAGTTTCAGCATAACTTGATCCAGACATTTTCCTCTTGGCCTTCTCAAAGTGCTGCTTTCCTCCTAGATTAGCTGCCTAACAAACTTTTCCCAACTTGCCACCATTACAGGGGGCAGTTCCTACTGCATTTTCTGTTTAGAAGAGCACAGTGACTCTCATGCTGCTCTCAGGCAGATATGTGTAACATAGTGTGGCTGTTCTCAAGTTCCTTCTCATGCCATGAATTTAGCCAGGGAAAGCTGAAGATCTATGTATGTGGTACTGCAGAGAAGCCAATGGTAGCTACCTAGTGATGACTCGGGGGCTGGTTGGTGACAGCAGCTTTCCCTCCCATCTCGTCTGTCCCTGTTTTCCCTTTACCTTGCCTTCCCCTTGCAGCCTGCAGCTATGACTCATCATGTTTCTTAACATGTGCTTGTCACTGGAAAGGAGGAAAAAAATACAGATAGGACCTAAAGGGTGTTAAGACAAGACATGAAGACCTTTTCCTTCCCAAGAGCCAAACAGCTCTTGCCAACACCTCTGGCAAGGACATTAGCAAATGTGTCTTAGCTGTGCTCCTCAGGGCCATGCCATGGAGTGAGGGAGGTCTTTCTGATTAGTCCCACGACCTTTGTGCCTTTGTGGGTTGTCCCTACCGTCATGCTGCCCTTGGGAATATAAACAGTTGGCACCCATGTTGCCAACAGTGATGTGTATTCACACCATGGGTTGCCTGTCGTTCCCACTGCAGGCAGTCCTGTGCTACCTCAGGCACAGCAGAACCATGGGACACCCTCACCTCAGCTGCCCTGGTTGTCTCAAGTTCTCCTGCAGTAGAGGGCTGTGCTACATCCTGTTGCTGTCATCCCTGCCCCACCTGTCTCCCATGGACATGATCCTGCCCCACTCTTCTTCTCAGACTCAATATAAGGAAGAACTTTTTTACAGTGGGGGTGGTGAGGCACTGGAACAGATTGCCAAGAGATGTTGTAGATGCTCCATCATTAGAAACATTCAAAATCAGGTTGAATGGGGATCTGAGCACCCTGATGTAGTTGAAAATGTCCTTGCTCATTGCAAGGGGATTGGACTAAATGAGCTTTAAAGGTCCCTTCCAACCCAAACTGTTCTATGCTTCTATGAAATGTTAGTGTCTCCATTGCTCCTTGTGTCCTTGGTAGGTGACAAAAAGCAGGTCAAGTTGGATGCTCAGGAGGAATTTTGATAGTTGGAAGATTGCAGAGGAGCTGTACAGTGGGGAAGGGGAGGGCAGGAGTGGAGGTAGTGGAGTTACTAGGGAAGGGAGAGAGGACTAGGAGTGCTTGGAAAGAAAGGGGAGGGAAGAGTACAGAGAGAAGCTTCATGTGCCCAGAGAGCAGCTGGGACAGAGCTGAAGAGCCCAGATAGGGAGCCAGGGAGGAAAGCTCTGCAACTCTGGGTTTCAGACCTACAGGGTCTGTGCAGCAAGGAGAGAT